CTTTTAGGATTACAACAACAACACCAAAGAGATTTGATATTCATTGAATTTTCTAAAAATGCAATAAGCTATCGAGTTTCATTTGTTTGTGTATAAAAACTGTTGACCTACAATCAATATCTATATAATTGTGAAACGACGTGTCAGCATATGTGCCTCATTTAAATATAGATATGACGACATTGTATGATTACTACAAAAGCCGTAGTGATAAGAAAAAATAGGCTTCTTTCGCAGAAAATTTCACTGATTGCAAAAAACCTGGCTATATACTAATATTACTATTAGCTGGAAGATAGCTGATATGTTGCCCAACTGATACTAACAAAGTTACTTCAAATTAAAGTTACTTAAATTTAGCGCATATTTTTTATTCTTTATTAAAGTTATGACCAATCGAAAGAAGGGTATTTTATTTTTTTACTATCCAAACGAAGATTTTTTTACAGAGTTTTAGATTTGAAAATGTCATATAATTTTGTTTTGGCAAGTTCGAAGTTGAAGACGTATCAAGTTCTGGAAGGCTAATTAATATAACCATAAAAAAGGCATTAAAATATATGTTGCTAAAAAAGCCACTTGACAAAAAATAGGTTCTCAACAGCAATGTTATCGCAAGAGATCATGGAGTAAAACACTCAGAAAACCGATATTAATGAAAAATGCTTTGATACCTGTTTAGCAAGATTTCAGGGATATTGTCATTGCAAGAAGTCACGGAATAAAAAAGAGAAAGTTCTGGCAAAAAGCATTCTGAAAGCAAATATTTATTGAGAAAGTTGTGTTGACTATTTAGTGGAATTTCCAGGATATTGCAATTAAACAAATTTAGTTACTAATAACAATAAAAAAAAAACCAAAACCATTGACGAATAGAATATGGGTGGTGTTTAGCCAAAACATTGGAAGTCATCGTACAAGTTTGGCAGCTTGTCAAAACCCTAACAAGATGTTTTAATACATCCAGTATATTTTATAGATATGGACTTTTCGGATTACAAGAGGGCAAGATGAACGTGAAATCATGTTACAGCTAGAAAAATGACAAAATTTTTCAAACCAAAAAGGAGTGTAATTGTATAAAATAATTATTCACTATAAGAAATCTAACAGACTTACCAACACCGCGTTATCAAATCTCAGAATGGTTACAGGCTTCTCGGGAAGGTATGTAGATCTGAGGACAATTATTGCTTAGTCTGATGAAGTGATAAACAATAATTAATCAAAGTGTAGAGAGTTGTTTTAAAAAAAGCTCGAGTTAAAAAGATTATAAGTGCTTAAGTGCAGTAGCTCAAAACAGCTTGAATATAATATAAGAAAATCGTTCTTCATTTTCAGAAAAAAAAATAAATATTTATAAACCCCAACAAATTCCTAGACATTTAAACAGATAACAGCATTGCGAGCAATGCATGCGGTGCGAGTTTCTTTTTTTTATTTACACTCAAAGTTTGAGCTAAAACAGCATTTTGAGTAGCAGCATTGGATTTGAGTGCCTTTCTAGTGAAACTCTGACGCTTTCATTTCTAGAAATCTTAGTTCGTATTTTAATTTGACTATGCAATTTTAAGATTCATGAAGGTTTGGCTTTTAATATCTGTCAGGGAAATAATGTTTCTATAGTAATAAAAAAATAATTCTTATCAAATCAATAAAAAAAATTATTACATATTTTTCAACACAAAACTAAAGCTCATCATTGAGACTGTTTTAATAAATACTTGTTTAATTATATTTAATATTATTTTACATACATAAATCAAGTTTCAGATTTGACTTATCAATTAAGAATTTTAATGTATTTATGTTACTACAAAGGGAGACCAAGGTTCACACTGGACTGTAATGCCAAATAAGAAGACTACAACAAACAAACACGTATTTTATCATAAACAAACACATTTTATTGTATAAACATTTGTACTAACAAATGTAATGCATGAAATAAAAAGATACATAGTATAGTTTTTGTATCTTTGAATTACAATTAACTAAACAGTAAAGTAAACTGGTTTTTATGTTTAATAATTTTGGACAACTTGTCGCTTGTATCTTAGATTTTGCTGACAACCCTCGCCACCACATGCGCAGTCTAATATTGAACTTTATCCATAGAACGTGTATCAATTACAAGTCGCGATAAAATAAATTAGCAAAATTACTTCTTGAAATATTTGTTTATTATTTTCCTGATAGTAAATTAGTTTGTTAACTTGTTTTTTGTTTTGCTAAGAGTATGCATTTTGACACAGAAACACAAGCAATACGCACACGCCAACGCAGTCTTATCACCAGCAGTGCTCAGTTCAGATAAATAATCAATCCTCCGTAATTCGATACAATATAGAAAAGTTAGAATTGAGTTAAAATAACTAATAAATACAAGATTAATTGTGATTGATAATAGAAACTTATCTTTAAGCAGAAAAAGTGTAAAGAATTTGAATGAAAAATTGTTTAAAGTAAATATTGATATTAGCTATGGGTGAATAACGACTGTGGAATTTTGCTACCACGTACTGTAAACAAAAGTACAATATGTTAATTAGGATTAAACTTATAAACTAAAAAATAAGAATATAACTTAATATAAATACTTTAAGTTGGGTGCTTTAAGTGTTATAGATTTTTATATAGTGAGAAAAAAATATCATATATATCTTCAATGTTCAAATCTTATTTAATCCTTATAAAAAAAATGGGAATGTTATTAAAAAGTACAGAGATTTTTCTTTGCTAGAAATCTTTATTGAATCCAACAATTCACTTGTTGATTTACATAAGCAACTTTTTTAATTTTAATCACCTTATACAATATACTATATAATATACAACTTTTTTATAAGATTATTATTTCCTTATGAATCTTTTAAACCATTTTTGCTGAAATATTTTTCTAAAACATTAACATTAAACAATCGTAAATATTACGGCGCATATAAAATAAAAAGAACGTGACGTCAAAATATATTTTTTTGAAAAGTATTATTACTTATTAAGAAATTTTAAATTAAAAACTTTAAATTATATAAAAAAATTTTGAATTAGAAGTAAAATTTATAAACTGATCATATTATATCTGATAGTTCCAAATATGCATCATCTATGGACTTTGGAAATATTCGTTGGTTTAATTATTCATATATGAATAAGGCAAGTGCCAGGTGCCGAACTCGGTAAAATCATAAACGCAAGCTCGTATGTTAACATATTTAATCAACGTCAGACTCAAATTGAGTTACTCAAATCTCAATTGTTAATTTCTCTCCAATTTATTCAACAACAAATGAAATTGCTGTGCTATAATTAGTACAAACACATATACCACAGCTATATATTAATTATAAATTCATTTTATTTTTTCAAATTATAAAACTGTTGTTTTTAGAAATAAGTTTATTTATTCATTATAATTTTCAATGAAAAACTCAAAAAAAAGGTTTAAAATAAAATATAACTAAAATAAAAAAAATGGAAAAATAAAAAAAAATGGAAAAATAAAAAAAAATGGAAAAATAAAAACTATCCATCTAAATCTAACTAACTAAATTTTTCTAAAAAATCTATAAACATTTTTAATGTAAATCATTTGTGATCTGTTAGTCGAACCGATTCACAACTCAAGAAGTTTCAAAAACTATGCCCAGTTTTCGCCGAGCAAAAAGTATGACTTAGCTACATTATGTTAAACAATATATCCTTTAAAGGATTGCGAATAAGAGAATATTTCAACTTCTCAATTAAATAACTTTATAGCCTTTAACTGTAAATATAACAGCTGCTTGATATAAAATTTTATTGTGATGTTAAAACTAAATTTTCAAAATTAAAAAAAAAACTATATTCGATAACCAATTAACTGCTCTATATAAAATCTGCCTAATCGATATAAGATTTGCCTAACCGATATAAAAAAAGCCTAGCCGAAACAAAATTCATCTAGCTGTTATAAAATTCACCTAGATGATATGAAATCTGCGTAATTGATATAAAATCTACGTTGCGGACATAAAATCTGTTAACCGATATAAAATACGACATACAGATAAATTCTCTCTCTCTCATCAAGCCAAGATAAAGTTCCTCTAACCGATATAAAATTTGACTAGCCAATATAAAATCCGCGTAGCCGAACTAAAATTCACGTTGCGAAAAAAAAGTCTGTTAACCGATATAAAATACGCCACACAGATAAATTCATCAGGCCAAGATAAAATTCGCCTAACCGATATAAAATTCGAAGGACCGATTTAAGATTCGAAGGAATTCGAAGGAACCATTATAAAATTCGACAAACCGATACAAAATTCGCCTAACCGATATAAAATTCACGTTGCGGATATAAAATCTGCCTAACCGATATAAAATAAGCATATCTAATAAATTCGTCTAGTCTAAATATAATTCGCCTAACCGATATAAAATTCTCGACTAGCCAATATAAAATTCGCCTAACCGATATAAAATCAGCGTAACCGATATAAAATAAGCCTATCCGATACAAAATTCGTCTAACTGAAATAAAATTCGCCTAGCCGATATAAAATCACGTAGCGGATATAAAATCTGCTAACCGATATAAAGTAGGCCTCACAGATAAATTCATCAAGCCAAGATAAAATTCGCCTAACCGATATAAAATTCGGCTAGCCAAAATAAAATCCGCTTAGTCAATTATAGTTCGCTTAAATGGTATAAAATTCGTCTGGTCGAGATAAAATCACCTAGCTAAAATAAAATTCGATTATTTAAACGTAATAATTTACAAATCGTATATAACAAATATTTATTTTTATCCAACTGATTAAGCAGATACATAGACTATTATATTTTATAGTATATATTTGTCATTTACTATGTATATTAGAAATATCATGACAAACTTAGTATTCCCGTTCTATACAAAAATAATTGTAGACATAGTTCTTATTATATAAAATAACAAATTATACAAATATATGGAATCCTTTAACTTCTAGGAGGAGCATAGGGCCGCAAAAAAATAACAAATTATTAAATATAAAAGATAATTTCTGATTTTAATTGATTTTGAATTGATTAGTGATACAAATTCAAACATTTCAAACTCTAATATATAGTAATCCTGGACACTTAACTATCCTCGAAAGCAAACCAATGCAACATTTTTTTGAAACTGTCACACTTATGCTAGTTCTAAGTGCGTGCTAAATAGATTGTTTTCTATCTAATGAAAAAAGTCACAAGTCATCTATTAATATTTAAACATTAACTAAAATATACACGAACTAAGAAAATAAATGACGACACAATTAAAGCAATTAACACAATTACATATTAAACAAGTTTTAGTAAGAACTAAGTGCAAAAATGCGGAGTGTAGAGTACAGAAAATCGTTTTAAAATTCTATAAATAAAAAGCTTCTAACACTTTACGATTGAATTTTTAATGTTTGCGTATTAATATTCGGCTCCCAAACACACAAACGCATATTGATAAGCGAATTTTATAAATTATTTGGGTTTTGTTTTTATTGTATCTTTTGCGTTTGCTTCCATCAAATTCAAACTTTAGCAAATATATTTTTTTTCTTCCATAAAACAGTTGAATAGTTGTTCGCAAACTCTTGCTAATGTACGAACAAGTTCTTAACTTGTTCCGGAAAATTACTTAAATTTAATAGTGTTTTTTGTTATAAATTAAATTAAAAATTACCAAAAATGATAAGCAGCCTGGCACGTATGCGTTTGATTACATTCGATGTAACCAACACTTTGCTGGTTTATCGCAGCAGCCGGGTTAAGCAATATGGTGAGCTCGGCGCACTTTTCGGAGTACTCTGTGATGACAATGATTTGGCTAGAAATTTCAAATCGAATTGGTACACATTTTTATTTTTTCGATTTATACAAATTTTATCTAAAACGAAATTAATTTTTATTAATTTAAAAGAAACAATATCTGTACAGTAAAAAAAAAATAAATAAAATAAACTTACCTTATAGGCAACGTTTAAACAAAACATATCCAAATTTTGGACGTAAATCTAATATTGAATATCAGCAATGGTGGCGTTTATTGGTACAAGGTATTTATAATATATATATATATATGTTTGATTAGTTTTGGTAATTAAATTGTATAACATTATTCTTTTAAACTTTTAGATACTTTTGCTGATAGCGGTGCAAAGATACCGGCCGAAAAACTGGAGGACTTTACAGAGCATTTAGTTGAGTTATATAAGACAAGCATGTGTTGGCAGCATTGTAATCATAGCATTGAATTGCTAAAAGAATTACGTAAGCAACAGCAGCTGGCAGTTGCAGAATCACGCAAACCTCCTGTTTTGGGCGTTATAGCTAATTTCGATCCACGTCTCGATACGGTTTTAACGAATATGAAAATTAAAGAATATTTTGATTTTACACTAAACTCGTACGATTGTGAAGTGGAGAAACCGAATAGAGAAATTTTTGAAATGGCCATAGAACGCTCCAAATTGAATGAACTGAAACCAGATGAGTGTTTGCATATTGGTGATGGACCCACCACCGATTATTTGGCAGCAAAAGCTTTAGGTTGGCATTCTGCACTTATACACGAAAGAAATGCAGACTATCTCATTAAAAAGTATGGCGATAATATTGATAAGAATTTTGTCTTTGCCAGTTTATATGATTTTCACAAAAAACTAATACATAATATGATTAGCTGGTGAAATTTAAAATTTTGCATATTTAATACTATACATATTAATTAACTATATATTTTCATTTTTGTTGACAATTTTTTTTTGTTATTATAGTTTTACATTGTATATTGTTTGCATTTTGTATTAAGTAGAGAAGTTAGTAACTTTACGAAAGACCCAATAGTGTATGAGTCTATTAGAATATATGTTACTTTGATTCTAAATCTGCCAAAAGTATTGCATGGTCTTCAAACATTTTCACTAAAACATCTTCGGGTTTGTTGTATTCCTTATCATATTCAGCACCAACTGCCCATAGGGATTCAATATCATATTCTTCGCGTGCTGTCGGTGAAAATATATGCAATGCTATATTTCCTGTAGAAATAAAATGAATGTTGTTTGTTAATATTTTATAATGATAAATAAAGAAAATATTGTAAAGTGAAACTGCCAAATATTTATATTTATATAATAATATATATACGCTACACTACAGCTACAAATTTAGTACGTACTTTTATATGTGACAAATAATGTAGTAGAAAGTATTTGAGAAACTTTGTAATTAAATAAAAAAATAATTAAAATTCAGTTTGTTTTTGTTAATTGCATTTCTTCTTTGGATTTTTAAAACCAAATGTTCATGAATTTAATGTCATCGACTTAAAACAGTTTAAATTTTTAAATCACACACGATTGTAGATAATTTTATGGACAGTCATGGATGGTCCGTATTCAATACAATCAACACTCATGTGCGTAACGCTGCTTTGAGATTATTACATCAAAAACAAAAGTTATGTGCAGCGGCTACGGTGCATTCACAGATCCAGTCACAACTGAATTTTGAATGTGTCGAATCCATAACTTACTTGCATAACATAGTGACAAATAAAAGTGGTACAGAGGAAGACGTCACATCTCGCATTCATAAAGCGGGGTCCGCGTTTGCTTAAGTGAACCCTATACGAAAATCAAGTCAATTTAACACTTGTACAAAGTAAGTTCTGTTAAGTCCGTCTTTTTATAGCTGTGAAATATAGAAAGCAACAGCGTCAATACAATCCCAGCTTCAAGTTTACGTAAAACGATGCCTAAGAAGAATTACCGAATCTCACATTTCAAATATCGACCTCTGTGTTCGCACGGAATAAAAACCTGTAACATTGACCATAGCATTGAATATATATTGCGGTAGTCTGACAATAACATCGCAAAATAAACACTTTGGTAGAATCCCCACGGTAACAGACGCCCAGGGGCCCCAACTATGACCTGGTAACGAACAATCGAAAGAGAGCTTCGTGCCGCTAATTATTATCCAAGAATAATGATATTGCCATAAATGTTCAAAATAATGTTAAACTTAAGTTTAAAATAATGTTAAACTTAAGTTGATAGTAGAGGCTCTATCCTCTACTTAGGAAAAAAGAAATATATCATTATCATCAATGGAACGTATTATCACACTACATAAATAAAGAAATGTCCCATAGAATTACTAAAACATTTCTAGTAAAAATAATGTAAAAAGGACATTATGGTGATGTTGTCTGCTTGTGTAATCCCTTAGGTGATTGATGAACGGCATTTGGTTGTTGAGATCCAAGCGTCCTTCTTGGAACCATTATGGTAAACGTTTTCAGTTTATCATTAGTTGTATAGTCTTATTAAACGGACACAATTCCTCTTAAGAGAATTTTTACTGTAATTGTTGTTATAAATCAAGAGACATTGTGCTTATACTTAATATTTTAAATAAACAATCGTCTTCTCGTGACTATTGGTAAGTGACATAGCAGGTGAAACAGCTACTCTTAGAACAGCTACTGCAAAATTAATTGATGAAGTTTTTAATAGAAACCTGCTATAAGAACTACGATTTTGTTGAAAAAAACTCAACTAATTATTTTGTTCTAATTTTATTGGAGACAATCTATGGTAGACAGTAGTCAATTTAGTGTTTGGCGAACCATACGTTTTTTATAATAACCTTTCTCATTTGGCAACTTTAACGTCTCTTAAATACTAACAAATTCCACTTTCAATTAGATGATATATTAGTAATAAGATTATCTTAGATATTATACAGACACCAGCAGCACATTAATTGATCGTTTGACTTCTGCTAAAATACAATTGTTATGGATACTTTATGGACCTATATTAAGATTTTATGCAAGAATGGGTTGTCCAATCAAACAAATTAGACATATCATGAAAAAAATAGTGCAATTATTAATTTTAAGTGACGTGGCTTATGACGAAAATCCAATTTAATTAATTTATAGACTTCAACAGTTACAACTACCGATAATAATGTCGGTTATGACTTTTGATGCGATAACCTAGTCAAACACAAAGAACTTTAAATGTATATACATTTTGTTTTTATATACGTATTCAAGTTATTCAAGTTAGTATTTCTTTAATGTATATTCTCATATGCAAGCATCTATATTATATATAATAGTAAAAACAAATATGGTCTATATTGTAAATTTTGAGTTGAGTTAGTAACAGCTAGCAACTTTGCTCATACTTCTGGATACGTCTCAGTTCATCGACATTAGAAAAATCTGGTAATCTACATCACCTTTATTACAAAACTCTTTTTTTATTCAAATTACTATATTATTAATTATAAAATATGGCAGTGGCGAATTGGAATATCGAGAGAAGAGTTGTGGAAATAACGGACGAATAAATAGGTTTTAGTTCACAATATGAACAAAATAACTTCAAAAAAATTTAAAGTTCATTTGTTAACATTAAATTTCAATATTTTTAAAGTAAAAGCGAGTATATCCGGAAGTTGTGAAACTTAATGCCATATTTTTAATTTATTTATGTATATAAAAATAAAATTTACAGTGAATTAGTAACTGAATATCAACATATTTACTTAATTAAATAGCATTAAGACTGTGGACTATGTTAAAAATATGTATTGTCTCCGATTACTTAAAAAAGGCAGCAAACTCTTTTCATAAATATAATTTACATATTATATATACAACTGCACAAAAATATAAAACATTATTTCAAAATAAACCTAAGCAAATGATACTTTAATTAGTAGTATTTCCATCTTAAACATTGTATTTTGATTGTTTAAATTCAATATTAATTAACTACTAATTAATTAATATTAATTAATATGACTTGTAAACACTACAAGGTTTTATTAAGTATATATTTTAAATATTTAAGAAATATTTTATAGTGAATATATTTAAGAATTTCGATATGGAATTATTTTGAATTGATTTCTAATTGGCGTAGGTCGCAAAATCTTGATGATCTTAAAAATTAATGTATATAATTTAGAAACAAAATACATTTAACTTAAAATAAAAACTTAACTTAAATATATTAATATTTAAGTTATATTTATATTTAACTTAAAATATATTAACAGGGAAAGAGTTTAACGCTAACTTTTTCATTTCTAATATATTTAAGAAAAATGTTTAAATGCAATGTTGCAAAGCTTGTAAATATCAAACATGTTACGTTAAATATATTGAAAAACAGTAAAGAAAGTTCATTTACCATGCGCTAATTAATTAGCACAATAAAGATATACAGTTACAAGATTAATATATAGAAAGCATTGTATTTATATGAACTTCAATTTTCATAAGCAGGAATACGGAAAACAAATATTTTTAAAATATAATAATGCATAACGGATCTATCGATACACAGTTGGTTTAAATAACTAAGAAAAAATACTCTTAATAATATAAGTTTTTATATATACATATAACGTAAATCACATTCTTACCTAAATCTATTGCCATCCAATCTCTACTTTTTTCTCCTTCAATTTTTGGTATAAGATCATTTTTTTCTCGTTTAACTTTAAACATGCGTCTTACAAACTCCGCTGTTGCTATCATATGCCGATAACTGCGACCGTTACAGACAACCATATAGTCAACATATTTCAATTCCTTAGGTACTGAACAAACAAATATATCCTCTGCATTTTCTTTACGCAAGACATCAACTAAGTCCTCAATATCAAATACGCCGGTTACTCCTCCTACAATTCAACTATATAATTAATAATCAAAGCATTTTTTACAATATATCCACTTTTTAAATTAAGTCCCATGTAATCATCGACAATCATATGCTCTGATTTATCTTTTTGTTGATAACGGTTACGTTCCTCTTCCACATCAAAAATTTCAACGGCATCTTCATCACGAAATACGGTATATTTCTGTCGAACGGCACCGCTTATGATTTCTTCTGACAACTTCTGACTTGTAGATTCTTGTTTACTGTTATCAGCGACAGTTTTCTTTGGATCCGGCTGAGTGAACTCATGATGGAAACAACGCAGAAATGGTGCACTTAATCGCTTATCTCGAACCAAACGAAATAATCGTAAACCATTCATTATTTAATTTTAAAGTAAGAAAATTTAAATATTACATAGAACCAATAATTTGTATGTCAAAAACAGATGCTTCGCACATGTGTGCTGCCACACAGTTAAAATTTGTTTTTGTATCATAAGCATAAAGGAGTTGTTTGATGTAAGTTTCCATAAGATTAATTGGGACATGTAGTCCATCAAGAAAAAATATTTGAATTTTTGTTAATACTTAGTAAACACTTCATAATAAATAAACCTCAATTACTAAGAATGTTTAAATAAAATTAATCGCTTAAGAGTTTAGTTATCCCAATTTATTTTTTTGAATACTTTTAAGCGATATAATTGGAATAAAAGTGATTTTTTAACAATTGTATATTTTTTTAAAATGAATATTATTTTTTCAAACATATTAACGTATCATATCATGTTTACATCGACGTATATACATTTGTATGTTAAGCATTTGACTAGATTTGCTGACATAAATAAACGCAACATCTGCGAAAATATCAAATATTAAATAATATTAAATTGTTTTTCCTTACTTTTTTATTTCGGCATTCACTAAATCAGTACAAACATTTGCAGAAATATGCGTAACAATTATTACTCACCATAATTGTGAAATGTAAACATGTAAAATTATGTATAAGAATAAAATCGTATCATAATTTATATAGTATATGAGTTTTATAATAATGAAATACTATAATAAAAAAAAATCCCATAAAAATATTTCTTACTATATTAATATAGTAAAATATATTTATTTTATTACTATGTTGAACAAAAACAAATATAATGCTGTTTCTAGAGTTCAGTTGGAAACAATACTTCAAGACAAACAATTAAAATTATACATAAACTCTGCATCAGCTGCAACCTTTCTTTTAAAATAGATACATAAACTGGAAAAATAGAATTCTCATGTACATATAAGCAATTCATCAGGATAACGTTTATGTTGGCTTTAGTAAGGAAATTAAATCTTTACTTTAGTAACTGCCAAATCTAAGAAAATCTTTGTTAAAACTAAGAACTACAAATCTTAAGTCTAGAAAATCTATTCAAATTTTTTTATTATGTCAAAAATTTTTTTCCATTGAAACCATCACTAAATACATAAAACATAAAAGTAAGAGTGTTTAAGGTACTCAAAAAATAAAAAACTCTTTAGTTTTAGCATTGACAGAAGGGAGCTAAATTATCATTAAGGCCCTAAATTATAATTTGTTTGCTCATTTAGCAGTTTTAAATGATCATTTATGGTCTTTAAATGACCGAATTTAACCCAATTTATTCGTCATTTAGGTTTTTAGAAATGGTAATGGCTGCATATGCAAGTGAAACGAAATAAAAAATGGAACAAATTTCGAACTGTTATTTGGTTGTCAATATGTAAACAAAACATATTCTCTGATTTATACCGTCTGTCAGGGTATTTTTAAAATGATCATTTAAGGCTGCTTAATGACAATTTAGTGCGCTCGTCTGTCAATGCTATTTGGCTTAAAAGAGTTTAAGCAACTTAGAAAAGATTTTCGATATTTGTTCTTTCATATTTTAAACTAAAAAAATAAATTTTACAATAAAAGTGGTGTAGATTTGCAATTTTTCAGGGCTTCGGTTGAATGAAGCGCATCAAAAAGTAAGCGCATAAATTTTTTTTCATAAATTTTCATTTTTTTTTTATATTTTTTAATTAGTAATTTTGAAACTTTATTATAATAGAGTAAACATTTTTTTTAAGTTATTTGATATTCTTTCACATTTTTTTGTATCATTATTTTATTGCATTTAAATTCATTTTTACAAAAAAATTTGTGAATTCACCTTCTATAATTGTGATTTGTTAAAATGGAGTGATATTTTAAAAAACAATTTTTATTTTTAAGCTATAATTGGCGAAACTGTTAAGTGCTATATTGTAAAAAAATCTTTTATATTAACCGTATTTTTTTCTTTCAGAGTAGCAAAAAAATACACAACTTACTTAAGAAAACATGTGAAGCTACAACAATGCTCTTAAAATCTTCAGAGTTAGGGTTTATTCGCAAAAAGTTTTAGTGCAGCTAAATTCAAAAATCACTCTATTGTGACTGTTTACTAGAAACGATTGCAAAACTCTAGTCATCCGTTAAAATCATATGAGCAGAAATAATAATAAAGTGCAATATACCAAAGCAATGAGATAAAAAATGCTTACCATTGCTCTTTTATTATTCATTTTGTATTCTTTTATATAAATCAATCAATTTTTAGTGTTAAGACTTAATATATTTTGTATTGTACACAACATGCGAATTTGTTTCAACCAGACTTTATGCTATTTTTTCACAACTCTAAATGAAAAAAATTACGACTATTATTAACTTTTGGATTACATTCTATCGTGCGGTGTATAGTTGTAAAAGTTGTTTGACAAACATGCAATATGTAATTTTCTTTGTGATCTGTCAACCCTAAAATAATTTTTGCTATATTATCAACTCTGGTTTTTTTATATTGCCTTTCTCTATCTGCCATTTTAATTCAGCACATATTAATATAAGGAAGGAAGAAAGAAGAGATTTGATTAATTTAATTTTTAGACGTAAAAAGTGCTGCAGGTTTTTATTTATTTTAATTTTTATTTGCATATGAATAAAACATAAATAAGAAGTGCAAGTGGCTTTAAATGTATTAAAAAACGACATATTTTGTTGATTCCATTCGAAATAAAAATGTTGCTGTTGTAATAATTTTTTATCGTCTTGCAATTGTTTTCAACATCTACACAAATAAATGCGTTCCTCATAAATGTTTATATTGAATTTGTACTAAAAGAAAACAAATATATATAGTTCGAAGAATAAATAAATAAAAAATATATATACATATAATATAAAAGATTGAAAAAAAGCAGTTTCGTACAATAGCGGTAAAATAAAAAAATTACTTAACTGTGAAATTAAAAGAAGTGAGCAATTGTTTATTACATTGAAATTTGGTTATGATGACTTCGACGACAACAAACAATACCAACGCTGGAGGAGGAGCTGGTGTAGGCGTCATCAATGACAGCAATGCCTCCAGTGATAGCAACAGTAATGGAAATAGCAATATAAATAGCATTGAAGCGGAATATAACAGTATTCCTGATCGTAATGGTTGGCACCGATTTTATCTGGTAAGTTCTATATTCTTATACTTCCATTTAGGAGTTTTTGTCATATATATACTACTCATATATGTATATATAAATATAACGTAATGGAATAAGTTCTTATACATTCACATAAAATAATAAATTAAATTTAATTGCTTAGGTGAAAATTGCAGTGTAATTTACCACCCCACAAAAAATACTTTCATGTTCCAAAACAAAATTATTTTTCACAAATTTTTTTTTTTGCCACAATATATTTTTCTTTTCATTGATTATAGTGGTTTCTTAGAATTCTTCTCCTTGGATTGGTTTCTCTCTTACTCTGGTCTCTGGTATTGTTTTTTAGTTTTTATTTGAATAACGAAAATAAAATGAAAAATAAAAGAAAAAGTTAGCGTTCGCAACGAAATCAAATTGTTCCTTGCTAGGCACGAAGATATACATTTCCACGAAAATCCGATGAGTGCACAAGGCATCAACATTGGTAGACACAAACGCAAACGTTGGGTATGTTGTTTTAGCCTCTGCCTCTGCTGTCGTTGTCGTTTTCGCCGCTGCTGTTACTGTTACTGTTGCTGCTGCGGCTGCTGCTGCTGCAGCTAGCGCTGCCAATACAAACATTTTCGTAAACAACAACTATATAAACTACAAACGTTTTTGTCCGTGTTCTCTGCGTTGATTGTATGGCTTGTATCTGCAAACAAGCTGTTCTGAACTTGTTGGTGTTTATTTTTATTTGTTGTTGCTGTTACTACTACTACTGTTGTTGCTGTTGTTGTTGTTTTTTCCTTTTAAGTTCAATTTTTCAAGAATTAGCCGAAAGTGTTTGACTGCATGTTGCATGAAGAAGTGGATTATAATTTAACTATTCGTACAAATTGAAATATCGAAATTGTTCCTTTCGGCCTTAAATTGGCGTAACTAAAAGTGAGTCCGAATATGAAAAACTGAGTTTTTATTTCTTAAAATTATTTATTAATTCTTTAGTAATTTTTTTTAAAATTTTCTCTCATTAATTTATTACTTCCAACTGCATATTTTACTACAATGCTTCCGAAATAATTGACTGCTGTTTTACAGCGAAAGATATATTTATCATCCTAACTATTCGGTTTCTATAAGGTAAAATTAACTATTACCAATTTTCTCATTAAGCCTTAAACGTTCTTTAATAATAATATTCAATTATATATTTTCCTGTTCAATGACGTTTCTGACTAACTATTCTAGGTAAAGTGTTTTTTTTCTTTGTTGTAATCTCAGATGAATACATCCGCATTTTAATTTAATTAACATTATTTAATTTGAACCTATAATTTAATATTAACTGTATATTCTTGTTACTTCGACTTGGAAACAGTAACAATACCAATACCATATATTAAAAAAAAATATTTGTGTTATAATCATAACACTTAAATATGGTGTCTTATAAAGAATTTAAAAAAGAAAATATTTGGTAATTCTAACAGTTCACGCAGTCAATTTTCTCATATAGAAACTTATCATCCACTACAGAACTATACTGACACCATTGAGGTTTTTGTCAGATGTCGGACTAGAAAGTTACTTTATTTCGCATACACTCATATATTTTTGTACATACCATATAAATCGAATCTCTGCTTCACATATTGTCGGCCTTCTATTATGGTGTAAACCTTTTATCATGAGTTATAAACGGTACTTTTAGTTGTCGGTATTTACAAGTATTTTCGAACACAAACCCATACACTTTTAAAATCCTATTCCAAAAACTGCTAACTTATTTAATTATCGCTTTGCGAACGCAAACTTTAGGTTGTTTAAGTTATAAATTCGGTACATTAAAGTGAAAAGATTTCTGGACCTACATCTAAAATAAATATTTCTTTTTTCTTTACTTTACAAATTCTCCATAGAATCGTATAGAGTCTCTAAAGAAAAGAAAAAATTTTTCCGGCTGTATCTAAAGTTTTGAATAGATGGTAATCTATCTCTAGAACTTGGTTTATATTACATT